CCCCAAAACCCCAAAACCCCAAAACCCCAAAACCCCAAATTAGGCTAGGATGGTTGAACTCTGAATCCTTCCTTTCCAAACGACCAGAGCTGCACCTGAAAATGACAGCAATTTCCCTATTAGATCACAGATTTTGATAGTTTTAATGCAGGATGAGCAAGATCTGGCTGCTGGGTATAGATAGCACAACTCTTTTAGGATACTAAATGCACCTTATTAGGCCATTTGGAAGAGATTTTATAACAGACAAGCTGGTGTGACCATTTCTAAATGAAAAATCTAGCCTAAGGCTCTATGATGTGATTGTTAATTATCATGAAACATAACTGAAACTACTAGATTCGTCACCTTCAGTCCAAAAGCCTTAGCATAATTTAAACACAAAAACTCGTCAAACATAAAATTCTTTAGAATGCTTAAAGATCAATGTTTTGACTGGAGGTCTAGACTTAGCCTTCAATGCATGCGCATGGATAGGCCATTTGCTTCTAAATCTCCATCTCAGAAGATTTAGTACCATGGAGTAGAGAGCACATTTACAGTGAGAACCGTTTTTATATGTTTAAATTGTTACAGAAAATTATTCTTATACTAAATAAATAGCTTGCCTAATCTTACTACGGCAAGCTCTGAGACCTGTCGTAGCAGTCGCGTTAGGGTTTATATTTTCAGCTATTGAAATTATGACTCCATTATTCATGTACTTCGCTAAACAACAAGTTAGATACGAGCAGAAGACCGTCAGGCTTATTCGAAGTATTCAAATTATTTAGTGTTGATTACTGAAGAGCACATTTAGGAAAATATCTGAATAAGAAACTGACCATGGCGTACCATGCTGAGGAGGATTCAGCTCTATATCTGGCACTGAAAGGGGGTCGAAATTCACGACCTCCCTAGACCCATCAAGAATGGAGCTGATCGGGTTCCTTCGTTTGGTGTTCCTAAACCAATATGAAACCTTTCTTCGAGGCTTTAAAATGTACCATCGAATTTAGTGACTTACTCAGGAACGATTTTACTTGCATTTCTCTCTTCAAACTCAACCTTGGAGATCTTGTACACTGAAAATTACTCGGGGGCTTACCAATGAAAGATCAGAAACCTCATCAAGCCAAGCTTACTACGATGATGATCAGGACGAGGTGTTTGCTCCAAAAGGATGGGTCTGGGCCCTAAACTTGCTCGAATAACAAACTTACTTTTTGAGAAACAGTAAATGATATCAAACTATCATGTCTCCTTTTTGGGATTACCATGATGGTGATCTTATCCAGATTCGTCACATTAACAGTTAGAGAGTCACTCTGGTGGATACTCTGAATGAGGTTATACTCATAAACAGAGATTTGCTCCAAAATGTCAAGCTTCGTAGACTCCAGATTACTATTTCATAAGTTAAGAGCTACTCCATCCTGGAGAAATCTCTAAGGACTTTGAATAATTTTATTAGTGAACAAAGTTTTTATACAATATTTTTACCTTACAAAGATCTTGAGCTCTTTTACATTATTTTCCCTTTTGAGGAAAAAATTATAGCGACAAATCGTGTGTTTCGGTGACCCTGACAAAGAAACAGTGTGAGAAGACCTATATCCATTATTAAATCTAATTTTGAAAACATCCAGATAAAATTTCCAAAAACTGGGCTAAAAGTGTCCAAAAGCAGGAAGAATCCTTACGTGACAGCAATATTCTGGGTTCCACATTCATCCTGGTCAAAGTCACAAGAGAAGTATTGGTTACTGGAAGAATTGCCAGAATATTCATCAGAGCACTTATATTCAGCTCCTAGTTGGTCATGAGCTGATGCTCAGAACCCACTCTGGTTGGAATTTAGCCTCTTGCAGTAAATATTATTCAGGTCTTCTAGACACTTAACTCATGAAGGTTCTATAGAACAGAATAGTTAGAGGGTTTCAAGTCAATTGTTGCTTGGGAATCGACTGCCAACATACTCGGCTGCTGTAAGAGAGCTGGACTTCAAGAAATAAGCTATATCCAGACTCAGATGCAAAGAGTTTAACAGACCGATTAGAGTCGTTCTAAGCCTCGTAGCGAGTTTGAATTCGGAAGTTTTATCTACTTAATTCTCTAGGTATTGCTATTAAGTAAACAGTGGTTAAACACAAAATTGTTAATACCCTTCATCTGTAAAGACAACTCTTTATTTGAAGAATACAGAAACCTAAAACTGGCCAAGTGAGCACATTTTGAACAAATCTGAGGGAAATTAGCTTCCAGTTTGCCATTGAGAGGTCTCTGAATGCCTAATCTTTATTTAAAGGTTTATTCATTATCAACAATATGTCTTTATTGTTGGAATTTGGAAACGTACACTTAGAGACCATTTAGGAGCAATTCTCAGCCATAAGATGGATTTCCGAGTTGCTAGGCTTCTAAGCGTCCCCAGGATATTCAATACCTGAACGGGAAATAATTTTTTAGTCTAATCAACTTATGACCCTTGCCTTAGTCGAAGTTTAAAGGCTAGATATGCCAATACTTACTGGAGTCAGCTGCACAGATGCTTCTGAAAAACAAAAAAGTCCTACACCAGGTTAGCGTAGTGCTTGGAGAAATCAAAATAAGCCTACTTACATTACAGTTAAAATCCAATGGATCATTTCAATATTTGTATAATCAAAAGGGGTTTTGGGGTTTTGGGGTTTTGGGGTTTTGGGG